AACATTGAGAATTATTCGCATTTTTAACTTTTTGAGTATATACACTACCCGGTACAATTAGGTCTTTACAGTACAAGTGCTTCTTTAAAATAACTAATGGCGGATTAAGTGTTCGCGGAAAAGAGGAGAAAGACTTTCTCTCGGGTGATGAATTGTACGCAAATATCCTGAAAACAATTTGCAATTTTTTTTTCCCTTTAAACACTGTCGAGTACTTTAAATATTTATAAAAAATAGGTTGCAAATCTATCTCTAAATATATATATATATATTTAAGATCGCACTGAGGAAATACACTAAATTTTCTCTCTTATTACAACAAAAATCAACGTAAATAAAATTTTACACTTTACAAATTTTTATTATAGAAACAAAAATAGTCTGAAAAAATTTTCTTTAATTATAACGAGACAGATATATTATTATTATTTCTGTCAGAATAATAATTTGTTTTTTCTGCACTTTCAAAATTTAGAAAAAATTATCATGGCATAAAGAATGATATGTTTTATATTAACAACCAAGAGTAACATCTTTTTATTAAAAATTTTTGTATGTATTAATAAGGATATACAAAACTTCACTATTTTGTTACGACTTTAACTGAATGAAAAAACAAAAATTTAGCAATCAACAATAAATAACATTTTTGGAAAAATAACCACAGTATAAGCTGTGATCAACAAATATAGCTGCATTATTAAATTTCAATGTGATGCACATGTCGATAAAAATACTATAGTTTAGCTTCACAAAGTCGTAAAATAAACTGGTATTTATAAAAATATAACATATAAATTCAATTATTAATGAAATTTAAACAAAATAAAATAAATCTTCCGAAAATAAATATACGTCAATTTTTTAAAATTGTTATTACATTGATATCTTTCTCTCTAAAAACTATTCATTAATAGATGCTTCTCATCATAAAAAGAGAATTTTGAGTTTAAACTTTATATGTCTATTTTCAAAGGATTAGATTAATGTTCAAAATTTTCTAATATTTTGCGAGAAAAAAATTCTGTCAATAGGACAGAAATGAGCATACAAAATCGGTGACAGAGAAAACGATGCAATTCCATGTGTCTCCGGAACGTCCCTCGGTGTCTCTTCGAATACTCTTTCTCTCGCTTCTCTCTCTCTCTCTCTCTCTCTCTGTCTCTCTCTCCTCTCACAAGAAGAGACATTTGGTGCAGACCATTACCCCAGTCCCGGGTGCCATCGGCCATCAGCAGCGCGTTAAAGCCGCTGCAATTACAAACTCCGACAGTCTCATCCCCTTTATTCCATTTCGCGCTCCTTCGTTCTCCTTTCGCCGTTCGTTCCCACATCACCCCTTCGTTCCTTCCACTCTTTCTCTCATTTTCCCTTTTCGATCCCTCGTTCATTTCTCTCGCTTTCTCACTTGCTTGTGCCTCGCCGCTCACCGGCCCCATTTACATTTGCCCGCTACTCTCGTAAAAGTAACTTTGTAACCCGTGCGGGCAGTATCCGAGCCAGGATTCCGTCCTCTATTCCGGGGAAATTACATGTCGGTCGGCACCGCAGGCTCGAAAGAAGATTTCCCTTATCAAGCGCGTTGCTTCCTTCTACCATCCCGACCGTCCTCTACCGCATACTGGATGTCCACTTACACCCAGCAATCAACCCCTTCCGCGTAAAATGACACGCACACAAGAAACACACACGTTTTAGGGACGTATTGTTAATTCTATGTCTCACGTAGCTAATATCCTTCATGAAAGTGTTGCAGACGAAAATAAAAAAAATGTGACTAACACAAAAAATTCAAGTGACGCTACAATAAAACGTAACGTATAAAATATTGTACATTATGATTTTGCTAATAATAAAATAATTTATACTTATTTATTTTTCAAACATTTTAAAAATATAAAAAGAAACATTAAGTTGTTTTACAATTTAAGAATATAACATAACTTTATATACGTTTTTGATAACTATTAGGTGTTGGAATTAATTCGTAGCGTTTTTTAATGAAAGAATGTTATTTATTTCACATGAGCATTAAAAAATACATTAATGAAAGTACTTCCCATCACTTGTAAAACGCTACGAATTAATTCCAACACCTAATATAATTATAGTTTTTGATGTTTATATTCATATAATATTCAGCCTAAAAAATAACAAAATACAAATTACTGAAAATTTGCGATTATTCATTGCAAAGTTACGTTCCATTATATTAATGTTTCATTTCAATTCTTGACTGGACTAAAATCTTTAACTGGGACAATCATATCGGTTTTCGATAAGCTTGAAAAGCTGTACATTGAATATTTTGAAATATTGGGAGGTAGCAATAAAAAAATTGTAGAGATACGTCATACTTAAATGAGCGAAGAAGTTTGAATGTCCCAGCGTGCATCAGATAGAGTGCTTCGTGAAATCGTTCAAAAAGTATTGGAATGGTTGCATGATCGCAATGTTTACTCGTACCTCTCGAACGCGACGTATCAACCACTCTGAAAAGTCGGAAATTTCTGGTATTCGGTGAAATTGTCGCATCGCAAATGTCCCATCGATATTCTATGGCCGCTTAGAGCGATTAAATCATTGCGTACAACTACCAGCACCGAAGTGACGTGGATTTTTCAGGTCAATTTACAGAGCACTTAATCGCAGATGAGCACGTATATAGTCAATGTTGGCGCGTGTAATGAATCGTTTACATGTGCGAACAAGAAACAACGTGTTTTAAAAGTAAACTTCTCCGCCAGATTATTTTTTAATCCGAGGCAATTAAGAGATGCACTCATAAAATAAATCTATAAAAATACTCTGCCAAACGCAAAACTCTCTATCAGAGAAAATTTTTAACGTAACGATAACTGATAACTAATCAATGAAATATTTCATTTTTATTTATCCAATATTATATTTTTATTCTTCCAATATTTATCGTATGTATAGGACTCTTACTATTAAAATAGCATAATCCATTTCTTATATTTCTTTCCATATATATATATATATAGAGTGCAACTGTATAGTCTATTCTTTCTGTATATAGTAAATTCTATTTTCTTGCAGTACACAATATTTATATTTTTGATACGAAATTCTGCGGATTGAAACCTATGTCGTATTTTTGTACACTGAACACGTTTATCCTAAATCCATCTATAAAACGAATCATCAGATTTTTCTAGGGATAGGCATGAGGCGACGATTATTATTCCGTCCCAGAAGATCACCTTTAATCGATGATTTATCCGCGGGTTCTCGTGAGGTCAAGCAGATAACCGCTTTAGCTTTTGTGCTTCTTTCTCACCAATATCCCACGATAGTCACGGTCGCCGTTTCATCGGACACCGTGGAAATCTCTCTTTAAGTCTGGCGGCTCAAGCATTTAACCCCGCGGTAATGGTAACAGTGTCAGTGATCGGCAAATCGATATACTATATCGAAAACGCCGAGGCTATACTGAGATCATTGCGGTTCGATTGCTCGACTAGGTCCAGCAAGTAATACGGTAGTGCCGCAGGGATTACAGACAGAGAGAGATACGAATTTATAGAACCCGAAAACGTTCGTGTTCTCAGCAAACTAGACGCTGAATACTTGCACGCATGTTGCACATCAAATACATATATATATGTATATATAGATATATATACACGTATGTATATCACACACGTGAGGATGTATATAAATATATAGGAATATGTTATGTATATTTGCCCTCTTTCATTAGGGATATCAGATATATAATCAAGTCACTGCGTTCGTATCAATATTAAAGAGAACGTCAGAAATATTCGCGAAAAATGCACTAGTAATTAAAGTTGTCAGCAAAAAAAATACGATCGTATTACATATGTTATGATATAAAGACGATGTTACACTGTGCAATAATATTAGCAAAAAAAGCTTGAACTTTTATCCTTTAAAATAATGAAAAAATAATTTGAGGATGAAAATGGAAAAAAATAACGGACAGATGTCATATCACATAATAATAACATAGCTTTAGGACGTAGTATATGGAATACGTGCGAAGAGATATTATCTGACCTTTTACCTTATTCCGTGAGAATTGCATCTTTGCACCTCCGTAACCTCGGCACGCGAATCGAATCTAAGAAAGCCCACCGGCAGCTGAAACTCATGAAACTGCCGGCGAAGTTTTAGTTGGATTAGTAACTTAGTGCGTGCTTATTGTCTTAACGAGTATCTATAATATTTCCGGGAACGTGATCTTCGCGGTTGTTCCAAGGATGAGGGTAAACCACATGCACTAGCCACTTGGCTAATTGTGTTGCATTAAATATTCAAGCAGGCAGCAAGATACAACGCAACCACTCTAATTTGTGTAGTAATTTGACGTACTGTTTTACGATATATCTATACGAAAATAATAAAATGACATTCGATAACAATATTTAATCATTCCAAAAATATATAAAATAAATAAATGAAAAATTGTTTCTTTTTCAAAGCTTGCTTCATTAACGATGCTAATACGCGACACTTTATACTGTACAATTGTTGCAATTTAAAAAGCGATAATAGATTAAACTAGAATGGAATAGTATAAAGGAAGACGAGGAAAGTTCGCAGCAGCTAGTCGGCCGGTAGCAAGGGTAGTTGGTGAAATCGTAGGATACCGGCTCTACGCGTCACTACGCTGTCAGAGGACGCAAGCGCGCTCGTGCCCCTTATCGAGTTCGAGAGCAAAAGCGACGGCTGCCGGTAGTGGTGGCGATGGCGGTGGTTATAGTAGTGGTGTTAGTGCTGTATACGCTATATACCGGTATATAGGGGGAAGATACGGCAGAAGGGTGGAATGGTTGTAGGTGGCGGCACACAACCGAGTTCGGAGACAGAGGGGGATCGGCGTTGAGGGTGAGAGCGCAGTGAGAGGGAGAGAAGCCGACGGAAGGGTAGGAAGACGAAACGCGGGGTAGAGGAGAAAAGAGAAGAGGAGCGATGTGGGGGTGGCGGGTGCAGCTACGAGTCGGGCGCCGCAGTGTTTGTCAGTCCTTCGTATGGACATCACGTTCGACGAGACTGATAGTATCCGCCGGTATTGGTATCCGTATATAAGCCATAATAACGTTTTTTAGTGACATCCATCATCATCGATAGCCACCAACGTCGGTCGTGCGTGCAATTCAACACCGTAGATGAACCCGCGGCTGCGGCACGCGCATCCGCGATCCCTGGTACCGTCGTTTCGCGCGTTTCGTCACTCTGTCCACGAGCGGACGAACGGCGCGGCGAGATCCTTACGGACAGTGGACGAGATGTGAAGACGTCGCCTTGGAAGCGATGTGGCTTCCGTTGGTGCTGCTCGCCTTGATGGCGAGCGGTTCCGCCTGTCCGTATCTCTGCGAGTGTCATCAGAATGATGTCGAGAAAAACGACGCGTCAACTTTGTTGGACGTGACGTGTCGCGAACGCGTACCCGGTCTATCGGAGTTACCCACGGTAGTGAGAAGTTTGTCGGTGGACAGCGCCGAGGGACCGGACGTTGATATCCTCCTAGATGAACTGGAAGCCGCCGACTTAGTGAACGATGCTTCGGATAATCTCAAAGCGAATGACACCTCGAAGACGAACGACACGTCGTCTTCGGAAGTGCTGCACGCTACAACGGCGCTCCTCGCGCGTTTGGTCTACCGTATTTGGTCGAGTTCACAGTGACAAATTGTTCGTTGGTGTCGTTGAATGCGTCGTGGCACGGTCTCGAGCGCTTGAGGTCATTAAATTTGTCGTGCAACAACTTGCCACGGATAAGAGACGTGCTGGTGATCCGTGCGACGAATCTAAGCGAGTTGGCGTGCCTAGATCTATCGGACAATTCGTTAATGGACATCAGTGTCGATTCTTTCAGGACGCTCGTCGGACTCGTGCGACTGAGTTTACGTAAAAACGCGATTAGCACAGTGGACGAGGGCGCGTTTCGCGGTCTCGATCGACTGGAATTTCTCGATCTATCCGACAACAGGTTGGCGGACTTGCCGGATAACGCGCTCACGCCACTATACTCCTTGCAGAAACTCGATCTCAGCGGTAACCAGCTGCAAGTTCTGGGCGCCAGGTGGTTCGAAAGTCTCGACAGATTGAGGGAACTCGATGTTTCGCGAAATGGATTAGCCAGAGCGGCTTCGGGAACGCTGCAACCGTTATCGGGACTATCTATTCTAAGGCTAGCGGAAAATCCGCTAAAAGAGAGAGACGTATCTCTATTATTGGGTACTGGAAGGAGATTGGAGACGGTAGACGCGTCCCGCACTGGATTAGCGCGAGTTCCAGCCGCTTTAACGAGATCGGTCAGAGCACTTAGACTCGCTGGTAACAGACTGACTACCATTCGCAGCGGTGACTTGGATAGCTATCCTCTGTTGCGTATGTTGGATATTGCTGATAACCGTTTGGTGGATATCGAGAATGACGCTTTGGGACGACTGGAAGTTTTGGAAGAACTCGATCTATCAGGAAATGTACTTTCGAAGGTACCGGACAGTTTACCGAACAGCCTGGTGATGCTTAAATTGCAGCGAAACATCATAACTGCATTGAAATTCGATGATCTCAATGGTCTATACAATCTGCGATCGTTAATGTTGAACGATAATGCCATCAGTGAAATCGATGTGGGCGCGCTCGGTCAACTGCCTTTGCTCGCCGAGCTGGATTTATCCAATAATCCTATCAAAGTGTTATCAACTAATACTCTAAGTGGACCGAGTAATCTGACAAAGCTGCGAATGTCAGGACTAACGGCGCTTCAACGACATCAGGAAGAACAAAGCGACATGGCGTTTCCGGTACCGACTCCAGAACATTTGGTAATGTTAGATGTGTCGCGTAGTCCGGTTCTTGCTAGGCAGTTACTGGCGGATGATGCTGCACTATCTGCCTGCAAAAGTCTGACAGAGCTGAACCTCTCGGCGACCAACATCAGCACCGTCAGATCCGACGTCGCGTACATGTTGCCGCAGCTGCGCGTTCTTAGACTCGGTAAGAACAATTGGAACTGCACGGAAGATCTCTACTGGTTGGGCGAATGGATCAGACAACACCGCGAACCGAATCAACAATACCAAACAGCGCGATGTTCAAATCCGCGGAAACTGGCGGGATTATTTTTGCACGAACTGCCATCGCCGTCAAATTTCGTTTCCACAACCGCGGGAATCATCGCGACAGCGGCTGCAAGCACCTCGGTTACCCTATCTGTCGTCTTCACGCTCGAACATACGTCGAATACTGATCAGCCAAACGTCACGGTGTCTTCCAATATCGACGATGCGAATTCTGACGGTAACATCACGGATCTTCTCACGCTATCTTCCGTAAACGCGAAAACCGAATCAAAAATGGTAGCTGACTCAGATTTTCTCTCCATCTCGGAAACCGTCACCGCAACGGCGTCATCGAAAAAAACGGCGTCACCGCGAGTCTATGAGGCGCCAACATCCTTCCGTAACGTAACGTCGTCAATCACGATGCGGACGAGCGGAGAACCGGATCGAAAGAGCAATAAAACAAATCGTATCTCGATGGATCAGAATTTAATCAAGCACATCGTCGTCCCAGCCTCTCGAGCACCAAACGACCCCAAGCTATCCATTATGAGAATAGAAGACGCGGAGTCGCGTTCGCAAACTTTCGATAACCGAGCCGACGGTGGGACGCGAAAAAACGATAAGATGAGGAAAGTTGCCGCGTCAGGCGTCGGCGAAATCTTCTCGTCGGGCTCTTCGAACGTGGGAAGGAAAACGATCGAGAAGCACACGAACAGCATGAGTAATGTGACGAAGGCAAACGCAGTGTTGGACGAGCGCGATTCGAAAACGATAGCGGAAGAATTGAACAGTCGAGTGACCGATTCTGGTGCTAGAATATCGGAAGCTTTATCTGCCGGTGCCCATCCCGGAATGTTGGTGTTAGTCGGCGCGGCCCTCGGCGCCGTCGCGGCGCTGACCGTCGTACTCTCACGAAGAGCAACGGTGCATCGGACGGACAGGTATCATCGTCACGAGAATATCGAAGTGCACACTCTCACGCCTACTGCGGAGCTTTGGTGACCAGAATCGGAACACGTCCGATTGTTTGAGAGAGACAGGCGACTGGACGTCGAGAATCGTGACCGAGAAGCATCGATGCTGCCTCAACAATCGACTAGTCCACGGTTGATCGATGTGTGTTTGAGGAAGATTCTCAAGTAACCTACAGTATCGACACGCATCCTATTATTGCATCGACATCTAAATGGATATACCAAGGAGAGGTACAATAACTAAAGTATTAATAGAGAGTTGGGAGAGAATCCCTCCTGACTATGGAAGCCATGGGGAGAGGACGAGCGACTAAACGTCGAAGTTGGGAACGAGATATTCCGAGCTAATCCGTATCGCTTCGGAAACCGCCAATACGTCGCGGATTACTAGGGGACAATATCGGAAAAAATAAGAAATTATTCGAACGTGACATAAAACTTCTACAATCTGAAAAGGACAAAAGGAAGGCGGACAACTGTTGTGAAATTATCACGATTATCGTAAATCTGCAATACAATAATTAGGGACATATATTGATATAAATTCTATCAGATCTAAAGTTTATACAGATATAAACAAGTGTTACTTATAAAATCAATCTCTGTAATCACGTATCTGGCTTATCGAGTTCTTTGAAAATCGCGTGTGGCTCAATATGTAAAGTCATCCAGATGTCGATAAAACGGTATAATATCTACTCGATGGAAAGAATACTCGACGACACTGTTCAAACTCCATCAACGGCGGAGATGTAGACGTGAAGTACTGTAACCAAGACGTTAAAAGCACGAGCGAGAATCACCGCGTTATTTCATATAAATTCTGACATATACAAACACATCTGGTGCTGTACATGTCGTCCGTCGGGAAATACTGGACGCGTACTACGAACGAAAAACTCGGGGGAAAAGACTGTAAAAAAATTCGAAACTATTTCGACATACATCGCGGTGGATCAGCATCGCGCAAAACCTCAATCTCCTTCGTAATAAACACGAATTGTAGAAGGAAAAGTACGAACAAAAAATTATATACGGAGTTATTCGCGTGAGAGAACTCTAAATCCGTCAAAACCCTTTGAGATTGGGTTTGATGTTCTTCTGATTTCGGTATCGCACATAATGCAATCATTGTAACGCGTCATAATCGAGTGGCAATAACCACAAGCGAGCGGATTTAACAATTAAGCTGATTGACTTGGAATCAGACCGATAAAATGGACATAGTGACAATAATAATGGTTACACGCCGCGTCTCAAGAGTTTCACTCTTTGCGGTACGCTCAATTCCTGAGAAGACTATATTGTGACTGAAATGAAGTGCGAGTGTAATAAAAGTAGGAAGAGAGTATAAGGCTAGCAAAAGATAGAAAAACATGGACGTGGTAGAAAAGCAGGTAGGGCAACGCCGAAATGCAGAATGTAGGAGATGAAAAATTCGCGGTGGCAAATAGTATGCTTGAATGATAAAACCAGACGGAAAGCCAGAGAGAGTGTTAGACGGAAGAATTTTTATCAAATGGCATGTGCGTGTATGAGAGATCGAGAGAATCGAGCGTAAGAGAAAAAGAGAGAAGGGAGATTAATTCGAGAAATCGTTCTCGAATGCAGCAAAACGGGATGTACAGAAATATTGCTTCCGTACTTAATTTCACTAAGCTTGATGAGATGTCAAGACTTCTCAACAAATACAAAAATGAAAGAAAAGATGCTTGCGAGACAGAAAGAGAGAGAGAGAGAGAGAGAGAGAGAGAGAGAGAGAGAGAGAGAGAGTGTGTGTGTGTGTGTGTGTGTGTGTGTGAGAAAGCAAATAGACAAAAATAGCGAAGAGGCTAAATATTATCTTTCTTAAAATAACCAGTGTCAAAGTACCGCTATAATAATAAACCAATGTACAAAGATCCATGTTCATCGATCTTTTTTTCTCTTTACCTGCGTCATATTATTGTCTCCTTTATTTCTTGTGTAAACGTTCTGAATATACATATATTTCATAACAAATAGTAATAGAATATTCATATATATATACGTAAATGTTATTAAAAAATTATTTTTAAAAAAATATACGTTTTACTTTATAAAATTATTAACATGTACACGAATATTAAAAAATATACATAATATATGATTTCTTTTTTATTCTAAATAAAATAAACAATTTTATAGTACACACATTTGAGTATGTTAGACTCGTATTTTCATGTTAGTTTGATTATATATAACTTAAATAGCTCTCGTCAGAATTTAATAATAAAAAAATGGACGTCAAAGAAATTTATATTAGGAAGAAAATATCAACATATTGAATAGGTAAGTAAATTAATATTGTTATATATAGGTGCATCTATACATATTATTATAACGTGCCTGAAATTGTTAATACTGTCAAAAATGCTTCTCTAAATTTTAATGTCAGAGATATTATTACTGTGCCTGACATTTTTTAATTAAACTGTATCGTTACCATTAAAGTAATTGTTATAAAAACAATTAAAATTATTAACTATTCAATACATCAAAGTAAATTTAAAAAAAAATTTAGTAAGTTTATTTTTTTTTCTCTTATAAAAAATACTGTTTGTAAATTTCCTTTTTGCTTCAACAAAACTCAATCTCAATTATTAATTAAATAAACAAATATTCCACATGAAAAATATTTACTTTTTTTCTGTCGAGATAAATAAATAACTCGTCTACATGAATTACATATTTATTTTTGTTCTTGCAAGATTTCAATTATAATCAGATTCATATCTACGTCCCCATAATTTGCCACACATTAATTAAGGCCACGCGGAGAAAGACAAATATTTACCACATTAATTATAATCTCATTAACTCTAGCAATAACCACAAAAATACTCTTGCTGTATATTCCACAAGGTTATAATTCAAATGCATTGAACAGAATTATTAATTAATTAAATATAAGTAAATTTATTTTGATAATTAATAATTCCTTGTAGAAAAGGAAATGAGTATAGCTAAGTGCGATAGTTACTTCAAAATATTAATGGACTCTACAAGATTACAAGATTATCTGAAGACACTAAAGCTCCGTTGTTAAATTACAGGATCTCGAAATGACGCAAATGTAATTTTATAGATAATTCGAAGCGTTGGCGCTTTACTATATGCCTGCCGGGGAGTTTCTGAACAACGATAATAATGAGTTGGGGCGGCAATAAGGAAAAACGATATCTACGAAGCATATTGAATACAGCGATTCTGGAAGACGGGCACCCTTGCACTGCAGTTTAAATTTCCTACAAAATAACTCGTTGTAAGGAGTGCAACTAGGAAATTTAATCACCGTATAGCGGCTCTCGGTTCACCCTACGGGCTACGGAAGTGGCGAATTCAGTAACATCTTGCAGAAGTTCGTTACCCCTACTCTACCTTGTACAACCATCGGTTTACCAAGACGCCTGTACTATTTCGTAATATTGACTTCATCGATGAAAAACAGAATCCAGTTTGGAACTCATCTGCATACCGATCCCAGCGCAATTACTCTCTTCACGCGAATATTGTATAGCGTGTGTTATTGCACTCAAACAGCATGACGAATGGTCCACCAGGAAAATATCAAAAATAAAAAGCGACGAGGAATTTTCAATATGTCGCGTATAAATAGAGAATGCTAACAGCGTGAACTACTGTAACACTACTACTGTTTCTTATTAAAAAAGTTAAACGATTAAACAGTAAGCGAGAAAAATGTATAAATACAATAAGGTAGAAAAAATAGATAAGAAAAAAATAGATAAAAATCTATAAGAAAAATCAATGATATGATTAAGATGTATCATTTAATGTGCATAGAAAGTTGTTAGAACGGACATTATCCCTTTATAATATTTTAGATTTAAAATTTTAAACTTGATTAGAGACAATTATATTTGTATCAATTTGTATTGACATATGCAATAAAAAGCGTATTGCAATTTCGAACTCAATTGCACATCGATCCCAACACAATTACTCTTTTCCCAGTGGGAGATTGCAAGTTGAGTTGTTACACTACGATATACGCCAATCATTACAGAACGAAAAATAGATGCCTGAAAAGGCTGCTATTCATATTTTACAAGAGAAATCATATTACATGGCGTGAAATACGTAATAAGAGTGAACCATTTCGCAGGCAAATAAAAATCTTAATTATTTAGACATTATTTTAAATCATGTGTCTTTTGATATACTTTTGCAAAAATTCGCATTACTTCAATTACTTTCTTAAGCTGTTAAAAATGAAGATTGCTTTAATTAATTAACGCAAATTTCTTTCTGATTAATATTCTTGTAAATGAGTACTCATTTATCATATATACAAAATAATTCATATAATAATATGGCGCTATGCACTTTGCACACAAATACTCTTGACTAAATGTAGGTAGTTTTAGTCGCTATGGTGCCAGTGCGTCACACAAATAAGAGACATTCTGCTACGCAAATTGGCCTACAAATTCACTTATGGAATTGTTTGGCAAACGGCGAATTCAATCAACCTACTTACCGTTCTAACGTCATACCGAATTTATTATTCATAAAGTCAACAAAACTATCTAAATTCATATTTTCTAAATTTATGCGCGCAATATTGCTATATCGTAGTGTTTCTATGCAGCATCTCCCAAATATCCATACAACTAGTTCTGTATATTGAGCGAATCGATATTTCACTGATACACATAAAAAAAAAATATATATATATATATATATAATTAAAATCAAATTAACTTTAGAAAGTTATAAATCAACTTTTTATGCAACAATGAGAAAAGCCTCAAAATAGCCTAGTTAAAATATATATTTTTTCGTACCATTCGTATTATTAACAAAATATATTTTTATATATTTTATAATAAGCATCAATCATTTTTGTTAAATTTGTAAATCTCAGTCTTTAACATTTTCTTCATCTCGATGACAATAAGTCACGAAACATTCTGTACATAGATATTATAATAAAAAGTACTTAACTCGAGCCAATTACACGTTATTAGAGATAGAATTAACTGAACTAATCTCTACAGCCGACACAGAAGCGTTGGATGTTTGCTATTTCAGCTAGATAGTAAGAGAAACGTAACTCTCCGAACACAGTAGCATTGATCGAGAGCCGCTATGACTTTCTGTACAAAGGAGAGAGCACCGGCGACGCCAAGGTAAACTAGGTCTTCATGGTAGGAGAAGCAGAGATCCTCTTCATCGTGTCTACGATGGCCGCAAACCGCCGCCCTACTCGTTGCGCTCTTTCCGATCGCACGCTTCGCAAGCTTTGCAGTCTTTTTATTTACCTCCATCATGTCCGCCATGAAATTTTAGCGACGATTTAATACCAGCTAACATTGACTATCCAAGTAAACAAAAGTATTTCAAGTTATTTAATTTAAAAAATGCAATTTTCAATTTACTGTGTATGTATCTAATTTATATAAGCAATTTCTAAGCGTCTAATTTATGTATAGATAAATAATTTTTATTTTCACTTGAAAAGAAAACGCGTTATACTGCAAATAATTATACAACTTCTATATCAAATAAATTAAAAAAGAGAACCATACAAAAAAAGAATTTAAAGTGGATTAGAAAAATTTTTAACAAACGGAGTTTTATTTTACGGAACAATTCCGAGTATTTCTAGGAACTTATGGTTACGTGTGTTTCAAATAAAGTACGAATGAGACAATCGGAGAAGAAAAGAGCAACGGATTTTTCTGCCGGGCCGGTATAAGAAATTTCTGCCACGATACACTGGGAACTTCACGCCAGTTTTACTAGTTTCACAGACGTAAAGTTTTTTTTATGGTTCCGTTAGTACTTTATAAAATATTACAAAAATTTGCAAGCCTGGTTGCGAACCAATGGTATACCTTAGGGAATTATTGAAATAACTTTTGTTCTCTCTAGAGAGCTGCCTACAAAAAGAAATACGCGATTAAAGTCGCGCTAATAAATTTAAAGGTGGAAATATCCGCCTACGATAGCGATACGCTTTTATTAATGTGAAATAAAATTGTAGAAATTCTAATAAATAAATTATAAATAATCGCATGTTTTATCACGACAAAATTATTCAGAAGAGAGCAAAAAGAAATCGGACTTCTGATATGATTTCACGTATCAGACTTTTGCATTAAAGCGCTCTGCAAGAGAGCCTAATTAAATGAATGTAATAGTAAATAACTTTTTGTACGCATATTTATTTTTGTATATATTTGCGGGTTTGCGTGTGGCAGATAAATGTAAATTCTTCCTTCCTGAATATGCAATGTTTCAAAAGCTCGCTCGCGCCAACAACCGTTATTTTCTACCATACTTTTTGAGAATGATTGACGAGTTTAAGCGGCGGGAAGCGGCGGGACTCTGAAAAATAATTAGCTGCTCTAATTGACTCCATTATTTACGTGGAAATAACCTAGCCATCCCTGACGTAAAAATTCGAATTACAATGACGGCCTCGAAAGCGAGAATATCATATAAGCACGCGTAGACGTTCGCAGTTTCGCACACATTCACACGTGATGGTGTGATTGCTAAGGTTGCTCGACTGCTGGAATAATTGAAATTGATCGTTGTGGAAATGCCTCTTCTATATCCTTCCGTTTCGCTCGTTCTCCGCAGTCCTTTTAACTAGCACGTCCGAGAACTATAGCTGTATAAATAACGCTCTACTAATTTTTAAAAGGTTTAAAGCTTTGTGATTAATGCACGTAGCTTCATACTAATAGTACTGTTAAAATATTTATCTTAGGAAACTTTTCTGTTACCTTTCATTTATTTCAATCGCAGTTAATATTGTTAGTGTTAACAATATTATAATATATCACCGTGCAATACAATAATCATATTAAAACTCTTTAAATATTAACAAAACGAAATAGATAGATATATATATATAT